TCCCTTCCGACCCTTAATCTATGAATCTATGAATCTTTGCAAATGGGTCCTGGTAGGAAAGAGGTTGAAAGCCACTGCCTTATAAGACTGATGTCTTGATTCTGCCAAAAGACTAATGTGTCCAATTTTTTGAGACAAATGTATGGTCCCATTGACTTTAGTGTGATGACTCAGTAGATAATGTTGAATTTGTGTGAGGGGTTACTTTAAGTCAAATTGTGCAGGACTTCAGGGGGCACGGAGTATAACCTCAAGAATGACCTAAAATTGTCTTTTTGCACACCATTTATGCCATTACATCACCATACCAATGCACTACTGCAAGGTAGTGTCTATCCACAGGCAAATGCCTTTTTATGTGTGACCAGCATCTATGTCACCATAGAGATACACTCCCCCGGTATAGTGCACCACTATGGTGAAGTAACTGCTAAAAATAACCATGCGCCATGCATATGGTGCAGTAACAATGTTGCCATAGCAACGTGTAGACATGCCCTCGAAGTGGTAAACAGCGTTAGTATTAGCGTGAATTTAGAGCAGTCCAATTGAATAGCTCTTCTCTCTGCCGCTCTAAAGCTCCCTCTGCTGGTGGCAGATGAAACTTTAAATCTTGACCTTTTTGTTTTGTTGATTACCTGCAACAATTTACATGAGTTCCTCCTGATTTTGCTTTTGAACTTCAGAACAAAAATGTGACCACACCTTGGTAGGCTCAATGGACAAATGCTCTTCCAACCCTTAACAGACCTACTGACAAAAACTATAGCAATAGCAGCAAGTCAACTTCAATTCAATTCAGTTCAAATATTTACTTAATCTATATTAGTTTCTGTTTAGAATCTGGTGAGTGCTACTCCTTTCTTAGATCCTACAATTTAGGACTGGTCACTTTAACGTGCATCCTCACTCTTCACTCTCTCCATTTTTCTCATCTTCTCCCTCATGTTCCCATGTGCATCGTTCCCTGACAAGAGTCTGAGTACTGAGGCCATACATCTGGTGGCAAATGCCCTTTGAATGACTCTAACGCTAACATTCCTGTTTTCTTTGGGAGTGCCCCACGTCTCCATTTCCACCCATCTAACCAGTCATTCCTCAGTTCACTTGACATCCATCCTTGTTCATGACACCTAACCAGTATTCCTGGTTGCAACTTTTCTTTTGGCAGTTTCGAGTTTCAAAATCACATTTTCTCCCATCTGCCAGCACTGCTAACATCACTATAATCCTTAGCTTTTCATGTCCTGTATTTTTCATAATTTTGGATTTTGAGCCTTTCCTATGGATGGTGATGTTGCTCAGCATGTCAGAATAGACTAAGGTCTCATCAGCATTACCTGTCTGGCCCAGCAGGTG